TATATATATATATATGTATATATAAATAAAATAAACTACTACTTGTACTACTATTTCTACTTCATGCTTTTTCACTTATCGCGGGGCTTCAGGGTTTGGATTAATGTTAATCGCGATAAACGAGGGACTACTGTAATCCATGCATGTCTGTATAGGATGTGGAGCGAATAGTGAGCTTGTTATTCCATCTAAGACCAAACAGAGTTAAGTTCATTAAGAACTGAGACTGTATGTTCTTCTACCGTCTTTCCTGTTGTACATGTTTTTATCAGTTCGTTTATATTTTGCAGTAATTTACAAAATGATTGACAGTCCACCATTGTATGTTGCAAAAACTTTAGATTTCTTGGTTGTAAGAAAATAAATCCCAGTAAACGAAGCCTATACAGAATCTTTAAAGATACAACTTGCAAGCATTGTTTGGAGTCAATTCGCATTTTTAAATTTTAAAGGCAATATAGAGGTGTAATACTTTTAAATTATGTTCAAAATAATCACAAAAGACATTTAGTCCCTTCACTTTGTATGTTGCTGCTGAAATTTCACAGAAACTAAAAGAAATGTGTCTGCATAATAATAATAATAAAAAAAATCATTTTATATAAACTGTTCTTTGTGCACAAAATCACAGGTTTACTCACTGTGAAATTGATTTTATTCCATTTCTGAAATAATTTGTTCTTTGATTATCCAACAGTGAAGGCGGGCTGGAAAAGAAAAGCAAGTAAAAACCGACTGACAATAAGAAATAGCTACTTTTGAGTAACAGTAAATTGTATTTTGTGTGTGTGTGTTTTAGTATTTAAATGATCATCTAGGTGAAATGTTTTAATAAAGCACAGCTATACAAATTCTCAGTTTCCGTTTTAGACATTTCTTTGTATCTGTACTGACAAAGTTTCATGCAGGGCTGCAGTAGCTCGGTGGACAGCGCTGCAGTTTTGTTCTCTGGCTGCAGGTTGTGTCAGGATGGGCTTCTGACGTAAAACAATCGTTAAATCTTTCATACAGCTGTTCTCGCTGTGGTGACCCCTGCAGAACGGGCTGGCCGAAAGAAAATCAACAATATTACCTTTTCATTCCCACTGCGCTCTGGTTTTTAGTAGGCTTGCTTTTTACAACCTACTGGCGTTCATAGCAACACATGAAGATGGTGGAGTTTGCAGATCATTTAAAATATAAACATAATTTCCAAAAAAGTAAGATGAATCTATTTCAACCAGGTTTCAGACATAAACATAAACAAGTTGTGTCAAAGTCAAGATTAAACATACACTCCTAAATTAATGAATAATGTATTCACAGAATGTGATGAATGTCAGGCTGTGTATTCACATGATGCTAATTTACACTGTTGTTTTTTATTGTCATGTTATATGTAAAGGACATAATTACGTTGAGTATTCTGACAAGTCATTCTTTTTTTGAAGGAACACTTTTCCTAGTTGACAAACACGCTTCCTTCCATGTAAGAAATAAACACTTGTCATCACTTCCTGTCAGGTCAAGCACCGTCAGACCAGTAGGGAGTGGATCCAGTGCAGTTAAGAGCTGGACATAAACAAAAATGGATGCATTTCTGAGGAAAAGCTATGTGACTTTTTTATTTGTTCAAATTTGAAAATAAAGACCAAACGAACAGAATCCAAAGATAAAATAATACTTATTTAAAAACGAATTTAAAAAAGATAAACACATTTAACCTGAAGAATGACTGTGTGCTGGTGTGGTATATATGAACTGGAGCTTTCACTGGTGTGTGAGTGGTTTAATAATAATGTTGATTCAACATTCACACTATTGTTTTCCTGTTTAGTTTCGTCCATCCATATCTGAGATCAAATGAATTTCACATACTTTGTGATATTTTATCCCTTCACATATTCAGCTCCATCTGAAACAGTGTGCCTTTACTTTTAGTACTATTTTCTATTTAAGAAAAACTTTGTAAGCTCAATCGGATGATTGATGATGATAGGTAGATAACAATAAAAATGGTTAAATCATGTAATCTGGACCAGTTTTTTTAAGTGAGAAATGTTTTGTCTTCCATCCAGAGGACTTCCTCAGTTTATATCCTGCCAACAAGATATGTCCCATAGGTAGCCTCCACTGCTGTGTTTCAAGCAAACCTCTTATAGGAATCTCAGAAGTACTTTGAACATGTGCAAAACAATCAGTCATCATGTACAACAATCAAATGTTTGAGACTAGACGGCCAACTTGCTACTCACAGAAACTGCCTGAGGACAACCAAGGTCAAAATTTCTCACTTAAAGAAATTGGTCCAGATGACGATTTAACCTTTTTTGTTGTTATCTACTTGGATGATTGAGCTTACAAACATTTTTCTGAACCGCTTTGGCCTTGGTGTCCTCGGGCTGTTTCTGTGAGTAGTAAGTTGGCCTCCTGGCCTAAAACATTTGATTGTTGTACTTGATGACTGATTGTTTTGCACATGTTAAAAGCTACTTTTGAGAGTCCAACAGGAGGTTGTCTTGAAACACAGCAGTGAAGGTTACTTATGGGACAGATCTGGTTGGCAGGCCGTAGACTGAGGAAGTCCTCTGGATGGGGAACGAAACATTTCTCAGTTAAAGAAAGTATTTTCTATACTTTTTACAATTATTTTACTTTGTTAAAAAAAAATACATATGATCCCGAGCGTTTCTGTTTGTAGTTTGGGTGTTTTGCTGTATGTCAATCTTAATTTCCCTGTTTTTATTTAAATCTTGTGTTTAGTATGTTTTCTGTTAGTTTTCCTCCCTCAGTCTTTTTGACTTTGGTTCCTCGGCTCCCTAGTTTCTCTCTTTCACTCACACCTGCCCTGCATGTGCAGACTCAGTCATTTCCACTCAGTGATCGCCTCTCAGCCTATTTTTACTCCCAGTTCTCTTTCAGTCATCGTTATACTGTGTTCTCTCACCACCTCTATGATCCATATTGTGTAGGTCTTGTGTTGTTTTCATGTTGCTTCCCTGTCAGTGAATTGTGTTATTAGTTAACATTCCTCATTTAGTTTATCTAGTTCCAGAACTGAGATCACTTTAATTTCTTGACAGGTTCTCTGAAATCTACTTCAGAGTACAAACTTATTTTTCTGTAATGCTCATTTCAGCTAGTGTATTGCTATTTTTTTTAGCTTTTAGCTTCAGGTTAGAGATATTTAGCTGTTGGCCACAATTTTGCTAATTTTAACTACAATTTGTTTTTATCTACAGCCTTGGAGTTTTAAGCTTTTAGCTGTGGTTTTGCTAATTTTAGTGTCAGATGCTACACATAGCTTTAAACTGTAGTTTGTTTATTTTCTGTTTTATAAACAGTTTTGCTCATTTCAGTTTCAGTTCTGCTTATTTGAACTTTATTAATGTTTTTTTTTTTTCATTAACAAACTCAGCAGGCATTTAGCCCTTAGCATTAACATGATATTCTCAGAAACATGTCTTGCTTTTATAACTAGGGATGCACCTAGTCACCTTTTTCACTTGCGATCCAATACCGATATCAGCTGTTAAGTATCGTCGATACAAATCCGATACCGATCCAGTGCTGAATTAACAAAAATGGCTAAATCATGTAATCTGGACCAGTTTCTGAAACAGGTCCAGATGACACGATTTAGCCATTTTTGTTGTCTACCTAGATGTTTGAGTTTACAAACCCAGTGCTGAATTAACTTAAAACATTTGTTTTGTTAAACGCAGACATGAATGTACTGAATTACAAATTTATTGAAAACTCTGCACCATAACAGCACACTTAAACACACGAAGAGCTTCACAGGCTTGGTCAAACATGTAAAAACAACACAACTTTAATTTGTTCAGTCAGTTCGCTAGCATGTGACGTCACTCAGAGCACAAAGCATAGAGTTAGAGTGACTAGATCTGCTGAGTCATGGATCGGTCACACTGCCACGATACACAATTCGGAAGTTTTTTTTCGATATCAGTACCGATACTGATATTGTGTCGGATCGGTGCATCTCTATTTACCACCATTCCTGTGGATAGCTTTAGATGCGAGTTGATATTTTTTGTTTTATTTTAACAAATTCACACAGAAAATACAAACACATGTTCAAACTGCAAACTGCTAATGCAATGTTGTGTAAAAAATAAACAATAAAATGAGACCATCTAAAAAAAACATCCTGATACCAGATAGATTTCTGTACGTAGTTTTGTAGAAGAGTTTACAAACAGCCAGATGTTGCAGAACATCTGAGGACGAGCAGCAGAAGGTGTGCTTTGACCAAAGCGCGGGTCAGACGAGTGGTAAGCTGAGAGCAGGAGAAACAGACATCAGGGACTCGTGCAGAATAAATTAGGTTAAACAAAAATAAATTACCTGAATGGATGTCAATAAGTTCATAACCACAGAGTGTGACTTACAGCTGTGCAGAATAAATTCTCACTGAAGTGCTGTCCCTCCATCTCTGTTCTCTAGCTGCATATTTTTATGACATCAGTGTCCCCGTGGGGGGGTTGCAGCCTGACAGGCGGTGTAATGATGCTCTGTGGATGAGTGTTGACGAGCCTCAGAGCTGCTGGACACCAGTTTCTCACACTGCAGGAGAGCGCCACTCATCTGCATAACCCCCCACCCCCACCCCCCGTTTGACTTGTCACTTCCATTTCCCTCAAGGTGGTTTTGCCATCTGCACCTTTATGACTGTTATCTGCTGTCTTATTTGTTTCCTTGAAAGGTCTAGCGAAGCCTATGGGGCTGGTGGAGGGACCTGGAGGTCTTGGTCAGGGGGGAGCCGCTGCCACTCTGGGAGAAGACAGCCTCGATGCGGAGGGGAAGTACGAGGAGTACGGTTACAACGCTCAGCTCAGTGATCGCATCTCTCTGGACAGGAGTATCCCTGATTACAGGCCGAAAAAGTGCGTGAGACATTCACTTCTCTTTACTTGATGTCACATATTCTCTTATGATGATGTGTTTTTCTTCTTCTGACGGGCATGCGTTGAGTTTAAAGACATAACCAGCAAAAAAATGCTTTTAAATTTGTGAGTGCAGGCAAAACCATAAAAAGGGCAAAAGATTACATTAAGCACTTTTTTTTTTTAACCAAGTTAATTTGGTATTGGGGTTTAGGTGAACCTCCAGAATAAGTTACTGTGTAAAACCAAAGTGTTTTTGCATGTTGCTGCATGTGTGTGTGCATGTGTTTGAGTGTCTTTCTGTTACCAAAATATTTCATGAACCACTGGACAATTTTTTATGAAACTAAACTAAACTAAATTACTGGATGAACATCTTCAACAGATGAGCTTTTGAAGCCAACCACACAGCCAATTCATCTTAAAACTACAATATTTGCTGAAATTCAATTTTCCAGATACTCTGCTTGTATTTAGTGTGACTGCAGCAGAGACTTAACCTGAACATCCATTATCTTTTACCCGCTTCTTCCTTTTTGGGTCACGGGGGTCGCCATGGAGAAAACCCACGCAGCACGGAGAGAACATGCAAACTCCACCCAATGTCCAACATTTTTCAGTCAGGTCATCTGGACAGTTTCTTTTTTTTGTGCTGAAATGTTTCACTTTCCATCCAGAAGGCTTCATCAGTCAAGGAAACGCACAAAAAAACTGATTCTTCCCCAACAACTTACTCCAAAGTGGAAAAAACCAAGTATGTTGGCGCTTAACTGGTTTGTTCCACTTTGGAGTAAGCCGATGAGGGAAGAATCCGTTTTGTGTTGTGTGTTTCCTTGACTGATGAAGCCTTCTGGATCAAAGGTGAAACGTTTCAGCACAAAAAAATAAGAAACTGTCCAGATGACCTGACTGAAAAATGTTGGATTGTATACCTGGATTATTGAGCATGGACTTTGTTCCACCCAATGTCAATTTATTGGTAAAGCATGTAAAAACAACAAAATCTGACCAAAATGCCTTACAGTTTAGTCAAATTGAAATTAAAACAATAAGAACAAAAACAAATCTTGTTCCACTTAGGAAAAACAAGAAACTTAATAAAATACAAGACAACAACAATCAAAGTCAGGTGTGACTGGTTGTCAGACGCTGCATGGATCGAACACTAAGGACAACAGATGTTTCCAGCACAGATTTAAAGTCTCAACAGTCTGAGCAGCATTTATATGATCAGGTAAACTGTTCTACAGGTTTGAAGCAGCAGCAACAAAAGCCCGATCACCTCTGGACTTCAGTTTGGATCTGGGGACATCTTAGAGGAACTGGTTGGTAGACTGGAGTGCTCTGGAGTGTAGATGTTAAGACGATCACATAAATGTGATGGGGCCAGACCTTTTAAGACTTTTAAAACAAGCAATAAAATCTTAAAATCACCCCTGAAGTGGACAGGAAGTCAGAGGAGAGAAGCCAGGACTGAGGTTATGTGTTCATGTTTTGTAGTTGCTCTTCAAAGATGAGCTGCTGCGTTCTGAACTTGTTGTCAGTGATGCAAAGATGATTGATCTAAACCAGAGCATTACACTAGTCCACACGAGAGCTAATAAAAGTGTGACTTCAGAAACACAGAAAGGCTGGCATTCAATCCGGCGACCTACTCGCTGAGAGGCTGCAGCTCTACTAACTGATCCACTGTGTCACCTGACAAAAGTTTAGTTTTCCAACTGGTGTTCCAGCATTTTGATATTTATGTGGCAGGATGTGACAACTTATCTGCTCCTGGTGCACTTTGTGCTTTATGAGGTGAGGTTTACAATAAAGTAAAGATTGCCTAAAATATAAATGACATGCGAGCCACATTGTGCACGAGCGTAAGCTTTGAGTGTGTCAACTTTCTGTCTACACTCCTGATCTCTAAATCCCCCCTCCCCCTGCTTTATTTTCAGGGGATCGTTTCCACCTGCACGCAGTGAATCCCAATCAGATCACACCGAATCAAATCACATCGCTCTGTTGTTCTTTCCTATTGACAACCTCCTTAACAGCCTTCTGAGCCCCCTCATCAATCTCCATCTGCTTCCTGACTGGGACTCATGCATGCTGAAAAGCCTTCAGAGGACAGCCCCCCTCCACCCCCTCCCTCAGTTCATTACTGTTCATCTTCCACGTTTGACTTATTGTCTGACTCTAGTTAATTCCTCCTCCTTATTTCTGTCGCTGCAGTTCATGCAGTTTGGCCGTGGGCGTCAGGGGGCCTCGGCCATGGGGAGCGGCCCAAAGCCTAATTACAGAACTTTAGACGTGCCGGATCCCAGCATGAAAAGATCCGGACAACATGACGGTGATAGTTGAGTTGTACTAACGCTAAAGTTAAAAGAATGTGTCCTAATGGCTGGTTGAAGACAAATTTAGCTTTTAAAAAGTCAAATACAGTTTTGATAGAAAGGGGCTTCAGGGGGTTGGTGATAATGGGACTGCCAGTGGTTTTTATATTACTCTGTGTCGAAGAACAATGGCAGCAGGCAGAGCCACTAAAAAACATGTGATGGCCAAGAGAGGTTCAGTGAGGATGACAATTCATTTCTTCCTCCCTGCTTTGTTCTCAGCTCTTTTCACACAGAAAATTAGATGAGAATGGAGCGGGGGAGGTGGGGGTTGGATTAAAAAGGAGATTGCTAATTAATAAAGCTATCTAAGATCTTTTCTATAATGAAAAGGTTTTACTGAAGAGAGAGAGGCATGAAAAAGTAGTTGTCCAGATGTTGGTTTCTGACTGAAATCATGCATTTGTATTTGTTGTGAATGGGTCTTGTGCTGCTGTGAGCTCCGTGGGTTGTTTTCTGCAGACATTGAGTTATAGAACACAATCACTGCTTCCCTTTGTTCAATGTTTTTTTTATATTGTTTCCTAAGATAATAAATCATTTTTCAGCTCAGATATAAACGAGCACAAAAAACAATAAAAACACTTTGTTTCACGCAAGATAAATCTTCAGTCTCTGACAGTTTTCTAACACTACACGAAAAATGTTTCCACGTTAAATATTTTTCTTTTATGACACTAGAGTAGAATTTTACAGAAAAAGGGAAACGACTCCTGGAAAGTAGTGAAAACACAGTTTATCCGCCGTCGTCGTACTGAAGACCTGGTGCTTTCACATCTGATCTTGTCAGGTAGGTTTGTTCTGTAGATGAGTACCAAGAGGGGAGAGTGGATGAGACCAGAAGGTTGTTCATAAAGTCAGAGTTTACAGAGTCGCACAGCACGTTGTCTTTTATCCTGACTACACTACATTAGTAACTGGAACTGAACACATGACCTGCTCGGAGCAGCTCAGAGTTCTCAATTAGATTGTGCTTAAAGTGCCTTCTTTTCTGTTCCTGATCGTATTTTAAAGCAGCAAACTTGGATTAACATGTTGTTTTATTGTCATACGCAGAAAATTATATTTAAGAGCCAAACCAAATGGACAATGAGTTTTATGATTTACAGTACGCAAAAAATCTGCTTGACTGTTTCAGCTTTGCCTATACATGAAAATATCATTTAAGAAAACTGCTAAATTTTCCCTTCTGAACATGGATTCCATCCATCATCCATCCATCCAACCATCCATCCATCCATCCATCCATCCATCCATCCATCCATTCATCCATCAATCCTTCCATCCATCCATCCAGCCATCAATCCATCCAACCATCCATCCAGCCATCCATCCGTCCATCCATCCATCCATCCATCCAACCATTCATCCATTCATCCATTCCTCCATTCATCCATTCATCCATCCATCCATCATCCATCCATTCATCCATCCATCCATCCATCCATCCTCCATCCATCCATCCATCCATCCATCCATCCATCCATCCATCCATCCACCAATCCATCCATCCATCCATCCATCCATCCATCCATCCATTATATTATATCCACCTGCTTCTTCCTTTTTGGGTTGCTTGGGTCACTGGTGCCCATATCCAGCCATCACTGTGTGAGAGGCAGAGTACACCCATGACATGTCTCCAGTCCATCACAGGGACACATAGAGACAATCAACCATTCACTCTCACTCACACCTAGGGACAATTTAGAGTTACCAATCAGCCTAACATGCATGTTTTTGGTCTGTGGGAGGAAACTGGAGTACCCAGAGAAAACCCACGAATGCACGGAGAGAACATGCAAACTCCACCCAGAAAGGCACCCGGCAGAGATTTGATCCGGCAACCATCTCCCTGAGAGGCACAGCAGCTCTCCCAACTGAACCACTGTGTCACCACAAAAAAAAACAAAAAAAACTAAATACCCTCAAGTGTGGATCCACTTGCAACATAACTCAAATACAGTTCCAGATTACACTGATCACTGTATTTTGTAAAGGCAATAGTCTGTTTTTATATGACCTTAGGACTTTCTCAAGCAACAAGCTGTACTTGTACTGGAAACAAGTTAATTAGTAACATATGTATGTATCAAAGAGCAGAAATCAGGAAGTGAAAAGAGGAAAATTGATTTTGATTGCTTTGAGTGAAACTCAATAAACATGCACAGAATTTTATTTTATTTTTTTCTAAACAATCACCTCATACTGGGTGCTATATAAAAACAGTGAAGCATGGCAGTAAGAGTATTTTGGTTTTTCCTGGGTAGTGTAGCAAAATAGTCATGTAAACTTTCAACACTAATGTCCATTAGTTTATACAGGACCATTCCCTGAATTACAGGTACATAATTTTTATGATTCTTCTATGTTATGTTCAGACTAAAAAAGACTGTGGAAAAATACATTTTGCATAACGTCAGGGTTTAGACACGACAACAACCCTAGTAAATATCCTGTTTTGATTGATAGTTGTCCTTTATGTTCCTCTAAAGTTATTTGGTCTTCTTCTTTGTCCTGGTCGTGGAACACTGGACCAGCTCTACACTCTCAGCAGGGTCCTGGAGGGTGCGTGGGAGTTTGCCCAACCAGTCTACATGTGCTTTGTGGACTTGGAGA